ACAATAAGGAATCATAAGTTACTTTATATAAAATTTTAATTATCTTAGTTTTGTGATGTTTTAGCTTTGATAATAACAGCTCCTATTTACTGATTGATCTATGTGCCAATTACTATTCTGAATGTTTATACAATTTATACAAACACTATTTTTTATCTTCAGAGAAATCCTCCAAGATAGAGATGGTAATAGCCCCATTTGATAGATGAGATACGTAAAAACCTGACCAGGTTCACAACCAGAATGTCCTAGAGGGAAATGGGAGCTCAGTAGTATCCCTTCACCATGCTGATGGAAGGAAGACAGAATAAAGGCCCCACAATTTGGATTTGAGCTATTTTCAACACTCATTTATTTAGCATCGAAAACTCAGGTGCGATAGGATAAAGGTAAACTAGGTATAGACTTTACCTGTGAGCAGTTCACAAACTAACAAAGGAGGCAGTTGGATGAACCATAATTTCAATAAGACAATCTAAGTTTCTGAACCAAATTTATAAAGCATTGTTACAAACACACAAATTCATGTGAATACACACAGCCTGCTTGGATATTCCTTGTGCAGAGCAGAGTTCAATCTGAAATATCCCTGGGAGGTAAATGTCCAGAGCGCCAGCCTTAGGTAAAAGGGATCTTTTCCCTTCAGAAGCATGCTGGCCTCCTGGGGAGACTGGAAGAGGCTAGGTCTTGAGGTTAAATGCTATGTGTGCATGAAGCTACCAAGGAGTCAATACTCTGTATCCTTTTATGATGAATTAAGGGATTAACTCAAGAAAAGCAGGATTCAAAGAAGTGCTCTTCCTACATGCACCCCAGTGCTCAGAGCAGCACTATTTACAGAAACCAAGACATGGAAGCAACCTAAATGCCCATCTACGGATGGCTGGATAAAGATGTGTGTGTGTGTGTGTGTGTGTGTGTGTGTGTGTACACACATATACATACACACACAGTGGAATACTAGGCAGCCATAAAAAAGAATAAAATAATGCCATTTGCAGCAACATGGATGGACCTGGAGATTACCATACTAAGTGAAGAAGGTCAGACAGAGAAAGACAAATATCATATGAGATCACTTATATGTGGAATCTAAAAAAAATGAGACAAATGAACTTATTTACAAAACAGAAACAGACTCACAGACATAGAACACAAACTTATGGTTACCAGAGGGGACAGGGGATGGTAGAGGGATAAATTGGGAGTTCAGGATTTGCAGATACTAACTACTAAATATAAAGCAGATAAACAGCCAGGTCCTGCTGTATAGCACAGGGAACTATATTTAATACCTTATAAGAGCCTATACTGAAAAAGAATATGAAACTGGATTACTATGCTGTACACCAGAAATTAACACAACACTGTAAGCTGACTATACTTCAGTTTAAAAAAAGACCAGAAAAAGAAGAAGTGTCTCTTTCTCAGATTTCCAAGTTTTGGTTGAGAATTTCAGCATCCACGTTAATGGACTTCAGCCGCCGTCTACTATTATTACGTGCAGTAGCTTGTGCTCCAGGTGTTTCAGGATTTACAATCCAGACACACGAACTGTACCTTCCTATCATTCAGAGATGGTAAGACAAATACAGACGTACTCAAGGAAGAGAAAGCCAAGGGCCCTAGATTATCATACCAAGCCATCAGATAGTTTGTCATGGAGAAGAAACATCATTTTTTTCAGTGATAGAAAATCAGCTTCATAGAATATATGGTGTTTGGGATCTCTTAAAACGCATGTATCTTTTTTTTTTTTTACCCTTCGATTTCAATATATCCTTTATTACAAATACATCCTTACATATCATTAGTCTAATTTTTGGTCTGTCTGTCTTCTTTCTATGTATTTTTGCATCAGTCCCCAAAGATTTGATATTTGTATCATCATAATAAATTTAATATGTAGTGGATAGTCACTCAAAATTCTACTTTCACAAAAATTGTGTCTAATATTCTCTATTTTCCTCCAATCTTAAAATTTTGCTCAAATTATGTTTTACTTTTGAGATTTTACCAGAATTAATCCTAAATGCTTCATGTTGGAAAAAAAGGTAGTGACTTTATTTGCTATTCTGGATACAGAGAATTTTTCCAGGTGGAAGTGGAAATTAGGAACTCTTTGTGGGGTAATGACATTAAGAAGAGAGAGGCCGAAGGTGTGTTTTGGGTATAGGAGAGGTTGGTTGAAGTATGATGTATAGGTGCTGAAAGAACAAAAGATAAAACTAGAAAAAGATGGGGACATACAGTGCAGGACCTTTGATGCTATAGTGGAAAATATCTCTGAGAGATCCAGCATCCATCCTTGTACAGGATGTTAGAGTGGACAGAAAGCAAGCAGAAAAAAATTTTCCAAAGAGATTTCAGCAACAAAGATGTCAATTAGCATTTCTCTTTCATCGTATCTATTACATGTATAACTTTATCTATGTAGAACATACTTGTTTTTGTCCAAGTCTTGGAGTCTCTCACTGAAGTTAGAAGCAATTTCTGTAAAATTCTTCACTGCAGAAAACAGTGCATCTGCAACAGAAATTAGGACTTAATGGCATCGTCTGTAGCTTCAGCAAAGGGAGCACCACAGGAAGGTGTCCTCTTCTGTATTTAACAAGGTATTTATACTCTATGTACTGCAAGACAGGCATCACTGAAATGGAAGGTACATCTGTATGCATAAAATATTTGATCATATAGAGCAGCAATAGATAATAAATGGATCTAAGGTAAGTCATTACCTTTTAGAGATTAACAGAAACATACAGATTGTGAATTTTGAAAGAGGAAGGGTAGCATACCAAATGACACACTGTATGTTTTCATTTCTTGTGGATGTTTCATTGAAATATTGTAGATTTTATCAGCATAGTTTCTTAAAACAACAGCGTAGTCTCGACAGTCAAAGGGGAGCACTATGGAATTGGCTAGTTCGAACACGATCCCTCCTCGAACCTGGGCCACAGCAAGGTGATTCTTAAAAGTTGGATCATAGAACTTTTCCACTAATTCATATGTTTCATAGATGCTGTGATACAGTGGATAGCTGCTGAAATTGGTTGTTTCCTACAAAAAATGCATGAAAAAAATCTCTTGTAAGATAACATAATAAAATGCACAGTATCGTATTTACTCTTAATATTATTAAGACTGTTTTTGTCAGTAATAAATAAAGAATTTAAGTACTTCAATAAGCCACTTACTAAAGTATTAATATTAAAATACTAAAACCCATCCCAGGTTTTTACTAGTTTAAAAAAAAGTGTATGTCTAGAACATAAATGATATTATAAAAATTATCTTGGAAAAATCTAACATTCTTGCCTTTAAGAAAACAGGAGATGTAGAAATGTTTCTGAAGTAAAGACAAGATAAATTTGCATGTGAGTGAAACAAATTTAAGAAGACAGAGGGTTGTCAGAAGCAAGTAAGCAAGCATGATACAGTATTATATAGGGCAATGCTGCAAACTGCTT